ATGTTCTGTTGATGTTTTAAGTAGCTTAACAGTGTGCTCATGTATCCATTTCCCAGGTGGTTTGTACCAGATCTCCTCTTGGTCCCACATAGTGAATGCCCATGCGGTGCCAGGGCCGGGGGTTGTGAAGGGTCTCAGTGCTGTTGGAAAGCCTCTGGGCCGAGGCTGTTTGCTCATTGCACAGATGAGCTCCCAGGGGTCACTGGCTACTGGTGAATACACAAAGGCTGTGGTAAGGATGTCTGTCCATTTTCTAAGTTTATATTACATTACATTATGTGTAACACATAATTTAGGGTTCGGATTTACAGCTGTTTATCTCTGTTATCTGTCTTTACAGCTAAATATGGCGGAGGAGCAGCCAGACTTTGTGATTGGGTTTATTTGTGGCTCTAAGATCAGCAAGAAGCCAGAGTTCATCCACATGACCCCTGGGGTGCAGATGCAGGCTGGAGGTAAATTGAATTGCGTTTTGATTAGATTAAATGAGTAATTTCTTTGCTATTTACATTCACAAGTTTATATTTGTATGTAATTAAAAGGAATCTGTGAAAATCAAGATATTTTCCACCCTATTAAACTTGTACATATTTGTATTATTATGAAACTGTGATGTTAATGAGTTTATAAGTAGATTTTAGATGCATTTTATGTTTAAGTGTGTGTGTGTGTGTGTGTGTGTGTGTGTGTGTGTGTGTGTGTGTGTGTGTGTGTGTGAGAGATTATCCCAGCAGGTGATTTATGTTGGATGCCTTAAAGGCTGCAAAAGCTCTAAACAACTTCCATGACTTTTTACTATGCTCTCTTCTTGGTGTTGTGACTTGTCTTCACCACAAGGAGGCACTATAGTACAAGGAATGATTGCTGGACCTGCTATCAGTAGTCCTCCTCTCTGACCTCCCCCTTTTCTGTGTCTTCCTCTCTTACAGGTGATGCGTTGGGCCAGCAGTACGCCACTCCGGAGGAAGTACTCTGCAACAAAGGCTCTGATGTCATCATTGTCGGTCGGGGTATCCTGGAGGCCCCTGATAGGCTGAAAGCTGCTGAGTCATACAGAAAGTCAGGCTGGGAGGCGTACACAAAGAGACTGGGCCGGAGCGGCCAATAGGAGCTCAGTAGCGGCACCTACGTCATTACGCCTAATTTCACATTTAAGAATAACGACCTCTGCAGATGAACTGGAAGTTTTTTGGAAGTATATTTTTACATTTTCGTGGAACACCAGTGTGCACGTAGTCATATACATAGAAACATATGTAGACCCGTGCGTCTGCACACCACACTGCCGCATCAAAATGCACACCTGTTCCTACACAACCAGTTTATTAACATTGGTGCCAGTTGTGGGGGAATTGGACACTTTGCTGCTGAACGTATGTAAATGTGTTCTTTTGATTCTGTCCTATTAATAAGCAGCTTTAAATGCGTTCTTCTGATTCCTTCCTATTAAAAAGCACAACTTTCAAGTCCATCTGCTATGGTACTTCTGGCCAGGTTTAAACATCTTTGGGAAAAGGTTTTTTTCCTCCTGCCTGAGTCAAACTGTGCAGAGTTTGAGGATATGTCGTTGATTACCTAGAATAGATAGTTTTTTTTTGTAAATGAGGTGGCTGCTAGACTCCGCTGAGGATTTGTTTGTTTCAGGAAGAACACAAATTGTTATTCCCTTGACAAAGACTAGTGCCTCCAGTCAAGGTGAAGCTTTTTCTTCAACACAAACCTTCCATTCCTGTGTACGCTTTCATATGATTGCTATAATGCTAGACCAAGTTTTTAGTATAAATAAAAGAGGGTGTGGCTTATACTTTTTAAATCATTGTATTCTACTTGGGTTGAAATTCAGGGCATTTTACAGTACACTAAAGGATCTTTTGTATTTTGAGTTGCCAAATCTGGATCTTAAGCATCACTTTTCACAAGATGCAGATATGTTGATGACTGCAAGACGGTCTCTCTTAACTCCTCCAAACCCTGACAAGTCTCTGCTAGTCACAACTTCACAAAGTATCAGCATTAAATTGATTTAAACCCATATGTTAAGTGGAAGTGGAAGAGCTTGGTCATTCACAGTTTAGTAATGGACAATAATGTTTTGGCTGTGGTCCTGATTTGACTGTTTAACACTTAATATTATGAACTTCATAGGTCAACTATGAAATCAAAATGATGGCTTTTGATTTGCCTGATTGATTGCAATACCCCTAAGAGAATATATCAAAATCATGGGCCATTTGTACAGTGATCAGCCTGTGTCATATTTATTATTTCATCAACAGCAGTTGATTATTAGTTCGGATGTGCGTCAGCGTGTAGCCCATATTAGCTCATATTATTTAAAATGACAAGATGAGGGAATGCTGATTGCAGCCAGATTGGTCCTTTAGAGCTGTCTTGATTGAGTCCAATGTCTGCCGTCCAATATATATTATTTTCTTAAAGGGATATAAGTTCAGTTATAATTGGACATTATCAGTGAGCCCACATAACCAGTCTACAGGTTGTTGCTGTTTATTTACCGTCTTTACAAAAAGAGAGTTAATAAACAAGTTTTGTTTAGACGAGAGAATCGCCTCCAGTTTTTGACACCTCCCTTTTTAAAGTAGACAACAGTTGAATTTTGTAAACCGTACCCTGGAGCCATGACCGCTGTGCTATTACTACTTGGCCTACATGCAGTGAAATGGCTCCATGGTATTCTTGATAGCAGTGTTAATGGATGAATGTGAAGTTTCTTCTCTTACAGAGACGTTGTTTGGCTTTTTCCCTCCATGTACTTTTCATTTGTGAGTAAAAGAAGTAATGCAATATCTTGTTTTGTAAAGTGAGACAAAATACTTCAATAAATCTTGTGTTGAAAAACTACCTTTAATATGTGTATCCCACTGTACACATATTAAGGATTTACTGTATGTAGAACAGTAGTAATAGTTTGGAGTTTTAAACAAAGAATTAAAATGTTGTTGGATATTTTTTGCTCTACCTTTTGCAAATTGTCTTTATTCTCAAATTAGACTTTAATGCTGCTAATCAATTTACAATCAAGTGTTATAGTTTACAAATACAGCATATATTGAAATGTAACATTGAAATGTTTTTATCAGCTTCCTTTTAAAAAGTGCTGTAAGATATGCATTACCCAGGATTTTTTCCACTGCTATGCCATTTAGCAAGGCTTATTTACTGTATTTCAAAATGAGAATGTAGTCCTAATGAAAAACAATCAACCATGGAAAAAGTAAGTGGTCATTCTTGTATAATATTGGAGACTCTTTCCAACTTGATTTTAGATTACTTCCTTTTATCTTATTTTACTTTTCTTGTGTGACTTGTATAACTGAAACTCCATAAAAGATCATTATGAATAAAAACACTAAAAAAGACAGAATTCCACTCTTCAAAAAAACGTGAATCTTGAGGGTCTGTAGTTTGTTGTGATCTTAAGATTTCCGGGATATATGGTTGAATTCAATATAAAGATATGAATAAAGATATCTTGTTGGTTTTTATTTACTGTGTATATAATTAAATATGGCAAATGTATGCAGGCTTGTGTATAAAGTAGTCAAAAAACCTGTTTAATGCAGTAACGTGAAGAGGACAGTGGTTAATTGTTAACAAATGTATGCGTTTTTTATGAACAATGTATCTAAGTTCTATAAAACTACTGGTAAATGTTTTTCTATGTAATTGTTCTATTCCCAAATCTTGACAAAAATGTATTTCTCGTTCCATAGTCTTTTTATCTTCTATCTCTCATTTAAATTATTTATTATTTATTTTTTACTGAAAATTGAAGCAGCAGTGGCTGAAATATTGTGACTTTTTTTAGAGTATTAGTCAGCCTTGGAACCTACAATTCCCATAATGCAACTATACTCTTTTATTACAATTGTTAAACGCTCTAATCTTCCATGCCCCTAGTTTTTAAACACAGGTTTTCTTTCAGTTTTAGGTATGACTTAAAATAACCCAGATTACATCATTAGGGTTCTTTTTTTAGACACATTTATTTTTCTTTGAGAAGCTGAGTAGCACGACTCATGTAATAATAGTAAACTGAGTTCTTTGTGTCAAATTGGAGGAGTGTTCCTTTAATTTAAAGACAGTAAATTTGCAACCAAAGAAGTTCAGCCCACAGAGCAGTAACAAGATCCCTGATTGGCCCGCCATCATTGTCCATGTTGTATGAAACAACCTCTGTTGTTTTAATAATTTTAAAAATACCAATAGTTTTCTGTACTAACGATTTATAAAGTCATGCACATTGTATTAGCTGATTATAAAATAACACAACATTTTAAAATTTAGCAAAATTATTTGCTTTTATATCCAAAAACAACAAAAATGATTAATTAAAATCATGATCATCTGATTTCCTGTTTGGGGAGATGTATATGTTTACATACATCAATGTTTCAAGTCTCGGGGTGGATTTTCACTTTGGTGGAAGATTTAGTTTGAACCCAAACACCAGGAGGATTCAACAGTCAACTTTCCCCCAAAGTTGTCGGGCAAGGTGAGCTACCCAGCAGCAGAAAGTCATTTGCAAGGCATATAATATGGAAATGTTTCCCGCACAGGCTCTGAAAAGGACAAATGTAGTCGGCAGGTAGCTACGCTACAATGCGCCTTTTTACAAAGCAACGCAGGCACAAAGGTCAGACACGTTGCCTGGCACACAGGAGGAAGAGGGAGGGGGCTTTTTTAGACTTGAGGGAAAGGGTTAGTAAGAATAATTCATTTCGTGTGTGTGTGTGTGTGTGTGTGTGTGTGCGCTTGCTTGTGCACGCACCCCTCCCCCTTTATGTCAATATTGGATCAGAGCAACGCACCGTGCGACAGGTGTCTGTGCGCGCCCTGAGGATCCTCTCCATGAGGGGTGGAGAGTGAGTGAGAGAGAGAGAGAGAGAGAGAGAGAGAGAGAGTAAGAGACAGAGAGAGAGCATGTAGAGGTATAAAAGGTGTATACCTGTCACAAGCAGCACACATTCAGTGCGCGTAAAAGGTGCGCCAAACTTGACCAAGCTTGCGCATTTTGGCCTTTGTTGCTTCGCTTCTTCTAAAGGTAGGCTGTACGGCTTTTCATTCAGATTTTGTTTCCTTAGTATCCATCCTTACAAAGGTGTACATTTTCTTGGTTTTCTAACTTTTCCAAATGTTTCTCCAAAGGTTACCTGACAACAGAGAAGCCAGCTGTTAGGCGATCACCGCCTCTCCCTCTGGATCATCGTCCCACTGTGATCGCTTTTTGTGACTTTTTCATGTCTGTATTTGCTTCACGTTGAGCCTCACGTACAATACCTGAAGATGAAGTTTTGTTCGTTCGGCTCGCGTTATGCAGGTACGGGTTGGCAACGGGAAAAGACACAAAGTTTGTTTTTCATCACGGGAGCATCACTGTTGCATCACTATTGTTAACACTGTCAAGCTTTAGTTCATGCAAATAATGGGATGTTGTTTTTGGTTGGGTTGTTTTAAAAGATTGCCAGGTGAAATTTGTTTTAAGGGGGTTCAAGGGAGCCAAATGGGTAGGGCCAGATATTGCTGCCATACTGCACCACAAGTGACCCAATTATTGTGATGAAAATCTATAAGACAAAAATGTAAAAGACATTTTTAAGAAAATATATTCAACCACGAAGTCATTGCCATTGCTCTACCTAAGAAGACTTCATAGCAACATAGTTTCAGTAACTGAAGCACCAGGTGTACAGAGCTAAACTGAATAGTTTGCCTTATTTGCATACAGCTGGCAACAGGCTCTAAAGAAAGCCATGTCAGCCTTGGACAACATGTTGCCTGACTACTGGAGTCACACTCATTTATCCAAAGGTAAACTGAAAAAGAAAGAGAAAAAAAACCTAATGGAAAAGTAATTTCTCAACTCATTTGACTCAATTAAAGATTCTTTGTTACATTTTGTTGAATAGGTGTCTGTGTCGAGCAAAGAAAAGCAAAGACAAGGTTACAGCTGGTGAATTCGGTTGACGGAATTAGTTATTTGGGTAATCAAGGCAGAAAGTTCATAGAATAAAAGTTCCAGCTTGAAATAAATTTTCTTGTTTATTATGAATCCTAGTCTCACCTCAATCCATAAATTCATGTAAAACATGCTCGCTGATAGCCGACACACCTGTCTGCTGCAGGTCAGTAAAATAACTGCAAACAAGACTTTGATAAACCTGACATTAGGAAAGTGTCCAAATGATGGTCACTCACTGTTTTTAGTCAGTGGTTGTACTCGTCTGTATGTGCTTGTTTACCCCTGGATGATATGATATCCTATGTACTGAAAAGGCTGACATTTACAATGCTAGGGATGATAATCTCCGTATCTCCCTTTGGTGCTTTTTTGATAATCATTTTCCCGTTGGCACATTCATGATGACAGCGTGTATTTTCCACTGTGGGCCTATTCATTACTGTCCATCTCCTACGTCATGAACTGAGGCTGCAGGCAAGCACCGGGGAGAAGAGAGATGGGCTTAATGGGAGGTTATGTTAATCATTAACTAAACATTAACCACACACACACACACACACCAGACGCCTGATATGGGCCATCTGTCATTTGAATGCTATAAGGCAGCATTCAGCCATCACTCTTTTACCATCCATTATATGTTTTGTTCCATATGTTTAAGAGTATCTCTGCCTTTAAGTTATTTAGTGTGTTATTTAAATATTCACTGGTGTGTGTTTTTAAATTCAGCTCTCTGATGAAGAGGCAAAGTGAGACAATAAATTGATGAAGCCAGTATTGCAACTGTACTATTCTACCTTACTAAACTGCTCTTTTGCATTCCCAGTTTCAACTGATTAAATTCATTCGAAAGCAGCGCTGCAGCGGCACCATTTTCAATTTGTAGAAAGACATCCAGCCTAACATACAGTGCCAAAACACATGCATACAACATATATTGTTACAGAATACAATCCCTGACCAATTTAACTACTGACTGTTTATTCAATTATGCTAAATCAATTTATATGAAAAAGAAAGGTATCTACTAAAGACCATGTTCAAACAAAAGTGTTGTGAAAAACGTACATATGAGCCCAGTAAAACAAAACCATGCTCATTTCTCACATTTATCACTAATGATCATTTTGTCTGGAAAATACGTTTTGTTTGGTGCCTCTGTGGCATTTGGATGTCTCTGATAAAAACTTAGTTTACAGCAGTACAGCATATCTGCCCCAAGCTGAAGTCTGATTTACATATCTTTAATACTTTTGGGCCCTTCTGCAGGTAATTCCCTTTACATTGTGTTTGTCTCCCTAGTGCATCCCCATCAGTCTTTATTATCTCAAAAACAAAATTCATGTAGGTATCATCATCTTACAAAAGACATTATGTTGAAGCCTGTCTTGCATGTCATTTCTTACCTGAGAGCCTATTTGCCTCTGCTTTAAGCTCTAGTCAATATTTGTTTAAAGCCAGATGAGGGAAAGCTCACACTCCTCAGTATCCTGGTTACCTCGTCCTGATTTAAACCGACTGTCCCAACTGGTCCTGCTGTTGCTACACCCTTCCAAGCAGCTCCAGGAGCATTATTAGTATTCAGGTAATTTGTATTCAACGTGGAGGCCTAAAGTCGAAATGTTAGTATTGGGAACAACAACAAAAACCTCTGCAACAGGTGGAAAATGTTGATCTCTGTGTAGTACTGATAATTCAAAGCAAAATGAGACAACTGACAAACTTTTAAAGAAGCCAGATAATGTGTGTTTTCACTGCAAAAACGTTGTGTGCTTACATTGGTGATACAGTCTTTTTGTCCTGCAGAAACTGTGCTTTTCATTATTGTAATGGACACCTAGTAGGAAATAACCCTGTAGGTAGGTCATGTTGGGATTCAGGAACATGCAATTTAAAGTACATGTAATATTTTCCATAGCACACATTTTAGGGTTTGTTTAATTGATCTTTATATGAATTTACATGAATACTAATTTACCATGGCAAACATAAGTCATTTAATGTGTGCTTGAAGTATTAGTTGGCTAAATGTGAACACAGAAAGCATACATACAGATGGTATCAACATATTATCCAGTTTGTAAAAGAGGCATAAAAAAAATGTTTTTAGCCCATATTATGCACCATGTCACTGAAAACTCTGTATGCGATCTAGTATTTAATATTGTCATTCTGTTTCTCCATATTTACTGCTGCTACATCTATTGCATGTCTGTCTGAGAATAGTGATCCTCCTCTGTTGCTCTTGAGGTTTAATCCTTCCCCCCATTGATTTAGATAGCTTTCATAGCCAAGGGTACAATGACAGAGGGTGCTATAAAAAGCAATCTAATACAAATTCTTGATTTTGGGCAATACAAGTAAACTTAAGCAGGGGTTTAGGGTTTCCCCAAAGCTTGCCATGTCTGATTTTGAGACTCCTGCTGCCCCTGATGTGACCCTATAAACTCTGCTCTGCCTTAGGCTCATTCTGCATCAACCCCATTAAGACAACTGTTTGTATCTGTACAGCAGGAACATGATTACAATTGTGGTGCCTGTCAAACTGTATGCTGCTATCTGTAAATGGTCAAGAGAGTTCTTCCCAGAGGCTGTGTGTGTATGTGTGTGTGTGTGCGCGTGTGTGCTGCCTGTTGGATGTGTGCTGTTTCCTTTGACAGTTACCGATAATGAAGAGTCATGCAAATGCCCAAGGCTGGTTCCCTCCCCTTGGCTGGCTACTCCCTGACTTTATGATAGCAGAAAAGGTACAACTGGATGAAAGTGGTAAGTCAATATTTGGGATCTCAGAAAGATGAGCTCAATAAGCTGTGAGGTTTTTCTGTTTTTTGTTTAAGTTACCAATAATAACACAGTGATAAGCTGTTTTTATTTCAGAAAAAGACAGTCAGTGGAAAGTAAGTAACACAATAGAAAGGCAAAGATTTTGTCTGTTCAAGTGTCTTAAAAGGAAAAAGTGTGTGTGTGCCTTTTAACACAATTCAGTGCTTACTGTCTTTGCGCCTCTCTACCTCAACAGTGATAATTCATGGGCACTAGCACAGAAAATAATATAATTTACATACTATTTCTCTGTTTTTTCCTGAAAGTAAATCCAGCAGCTTGTTTGTCCACGCAGAGATCAATGGGGACAAGTGGAGGTGGTATGAGCAGATGTCCTGCTCGCATCATCCTTACCTGGATTAGTCACCACGGTAACCTTCCACCTGAAGGAGGGCATTTATTCAGTGCAATCTGTGTGTCACTGTGTGTGTTTATATATGTGTGCAGATATACAGTCACGTGTGTGTGTGTGCACACGCTTCCATACAAACACTTTTGTGTGTGTGTGTGTGTGTGTGTGTATGCAGGTGCATTCACTGACTATTCAAATAGTTCCGACTCACACTGACCCAGAAAACAAAATCTCCCTCAGCAGTGTTAACACACTTCCGGCACTGCAACCAATCTACATAGCCTGAATATCAGAATATATTCTTTAATATTGGATAATATAGCTTTTCACACAAATTTCCTGGGAGATCAGACCAGCTATCAGCGTACACTCATTAAAAATTAAATAAAATGAGCTAATGAGCAGAGTATACTGGCTTGTGTGATAGTGTGTGAGCTTCCATATAAATGTGCATGTTTGGGTACCTAAAAAAAGCAAACGTTGTATGATTATGATGTAGCTAATGAGAATAATGCTGTCATGAAGTGTTAAAGTGAGTGTGGATGTGGAAAAGTATTTTTAACTATGCAGGGAGTGGGTCCTCTTCTACAGTCCGCCATGTTCAACCGCCATGTTTCTGCAATAGCCCAGAAGTGGCAAACCAAGCCCTTGCTTGAGATGGGGGCTTTTGCGCTTTTTGCGAGTTTCATAGCCACTGTAGTTTCTCCTATGCACATGGAAGGGCGAGCTGTATTCAGTTGGTCCTTTAAGGAAGAATCATGATGGAACAGTGTTTCTGTCACCATAATGTATTCTGCACCTGGTAATGTAAAATTACCTGATGTTCAGTGATCATTGAATGACAATGCAGCACAATCAAATATAGGACATGGATGACCAAACCATTAAAAAAACACCATCCATTATATTAAGCATTTGGCTGCTTGAGTCAAATAGATTGATGATTTATTGTAAGTCGATTTAAGTCGAATGTAGAGACAAACTTTTGATCTGCTCCAAACATAAACCCATGTAGGTGCAGAAAAAGGTGAGGAACTTCAGGTAGATGGCAAGTCTACCATGTAGGCTAATAGACCTTTTTCACAGCAGCCATTTTGATATGAAATAGTACCACCTGTTTACCCTAATATCTCATGTAAAAAATTCTGTAAAAAAGAACTTGTGATCCTGTACTTGCTTCCAGTGAACCAGTACATTTGTCAGTGACCAGTGGGAAGAAATGAATGGGTTTTTTTCACATAGCAAGATAAGGATTCAAAGTAGAACTGTACTTGCTCTCTACTGGACTACACTGTTCCCTGACACATGCAAATCCCCCCACCTGTATTTAACAGGGAAATGAGCTGTGCGTGTGTGTGTGTGTGTGTGTGTGTGTGTGTGTGTGTGTGTGGCGCGCGTGTGTGTGTGTGTGTGTGTGTGTGTACAAGAGGGCAAGGATCTACAGCTGATCTATCTTATCAGACCTGGTGAAGAAAGACGAAAGACTGTCTGCAAGCATCACAAAGACACACACACACACACACACACACACACACACACACACACACACACACACACAAAGCGTTTTTATGCATGTAGACACACTAAGTAATTCAGGTAGTAGCAAACATAAACACACACAAATACACACACGACATCTGTGTCTATATTAGCCTGTCCTTTCACCTGCCCATCACCTGCTCTGGGGGGAAAGCAGGGGTGACACACACACACAAACACACACACACAGCCACACACATGTGGAGAGAAGAACAATGAATGGGTTAACAGAAAACAATGAGAAAGCTGTTCATACAAGTAAACAGCTCACACATGCTCACAGGTGGAACACACACATACACAGACACACACAAAGACACAAGCCAAGTCCTTTACCCTACATTTCCTGTAGCTGTATTACTGTGTTGCTATCATATATGTTTCTGGGGTTTTAGATACTTTCATCTCAGTCCTATGACAATGAACCATTATTATCTATTTATTATTATTATTATTATTATTATTATTAGTAGTAGTAGTAGTAGTAGTAGTAGTAGTAGTAGTAGTAGTAGTACTTTTTTAAAAAGAGCCGACCTGTTTTACAAGTTGTTGCCAGCCTGGGTGTAATAAATATATTTGCCACAAGATGTCACCAATGATGAAGGAAAATACAAAATCCACCTTTCTAATCCAACACTATTGATAGTATGGTAGGGCTGGTGTATTGAGAAATTACAAAATGTGCAAGATGAAATAACAGGTTTTGAAAAACAAAAACAAATATGTGCTCACTCTGACATGGAAAGTCTGATTTTTAAACTGTAAGTATGGTTCACTGATATGGTAAATTGATGGTTTACCAGTGTATCAGCTATGGAGTTGCAGTTTATTACTGCACACTAAATTATAGTATATATAAATAAAATGTTTTGTATCTCTCCTGAATCCAATCATATGTCATATTATTGTTTAAGAATGAAAATTTGACTTTACACGAGGTCAAAGAACAACAGAAAATGAATAAGCACACAGAAGGACAGTATAATACATGACTGAGAAGGTTGTCATTCATGATGTTAAAAGTGCCAGTGTGATCTTTCTCATGAGCTGAAATGTAATTAATAAAACTGTATTGGAACCTGCTATCATTCTCAATTTAATTTACTGGCCTATTAATGTTGTGACTGATACTATTCAACATTTAACCTATTCATGGTACTTATTTTTGCAAAAGCTTTAAAGGATATAACTATTTGAGTTCAGAAACATCTGTAATATACCTGTTTTTTAGACAGTTAAAAAAAATATAATTGAACATTTAAAATTGGTATCTAGCTAAAAAAGCTTAATTTGAATAGAAACAAATACAACTTGAAACATTCACATAGGTGAACGCTGAAAAAACATGCTACAGAGCATATGCTATTAAACACTCATGAGCCCTATGACACAGCATACTGTTTATTTGAGGAATGGTGCTCCTCATTTTATTGCTAAACTATTATGTATAAATGTGGGTACAACTAAGTATAGACCAGATTTTCCTTTGGTTTTGGTCAGAAAGTTACCACTACTGATGCAGCTTTTTACCATAGAAGTTCATCCAGTTGACATTCCAGATCAGTCATTGGAAAAGAAGAAGACAAGGATGCCCTCAAGATGAAATTGGCTCATGTCATTGTACTCACTTTGTGGAATGCCTTGGGCCCTTTTCCCACCTCTAGTTTTGGATCCAGTTTACCTACAGCAGAGAGGGAGAGAAAGAGAGAGAGGGGGGATAAGCTCCCAGAATGTGTCTATTATCCTGCCACACCAATCAAACTGTTGTGTCAGTGCGTTACCATTGTATAGTCCTGGGTCAGGTTGCCTCTGACCATGGCTGCCATATTGATGACTAAGTCAGTTTGGGGCTCTGGGGACAATGGTGCTGTGGAGCCTCCACAAAGCACGAGGCTAATGCTGCCCTTTCAGCCGGCCCGCTCAGCTGCTGAGTGTGCAAGGCTGCTGGGCAAATGGAGTGGCGCAGGTCCAGGGGGCCCGGCCCTATAAAAACACAGGCGAGGGTCTCTTCCCCGACATTGATTATACTGGATCTGTCCCACCTCAGTACTGTCTGTAAGTATATCAACACACTGCCTCAGACTCAGCTAAGAAACTGCAATCAGGGGACAGCTTTGTGTACTGGGGTGGAGCCCGACAGCTACCAAGATGCTGCCCACTCTGTGTATTTGATAGATAGACAGCTGTGGATGCTCTTTAAATGAGACTTGATTCGCTAGGAAGTAAAAACATGGAAGCCACTTCATGCTGCTGCTTTTAGGGGGAACTGGTTTATACCTCAGCAGCCCTTTTAACAGGGAAAGCTGGCAAGATGATGCCTTACTGGTGTGCTTGTATTCGGCCTGTAAACATCATACAAACATTTTCCTCAAACCAGTTTTTACTGGGCTACGAAATTGCGTTACGGATGGTTAGCAACTGTTGGTAGAAATGATCAATTCTGAGTTTACTGCTTTTAAGCTTTTGCAGAAATGTAGCTTGCTGTTGTGGCATTAATATCAGGAGGATAGAGGCATGTCTGTGGTTCTTAACTGAACCTCCTCAATGGAAACACCAATCTGCACTGTGGACAAATGGAAAAATTATCAATGTGGAATTTTTTCACTTCTTGTCATGCTTTTGGACAGTGACGGATATTCATTTCCAGAGTAAAGGTGCAACAGTATACTTTACCCTATTAACAGGTATTTTTTCATCAAGCTAAAATACGAAGATTGCAGCTGTAAGTTGAGTTAAATAAATGCCAGCATCTGCTGGCCTGATTGCCTGTATCTGTTTTAATGAAGATGACTTAATGGTCCTCAGGAAGTTTGCTCTCTGGAAACATTTGTTATTTTTTCACTTTATTTGTTATACCTTCTCAGGACATGCATATTTTGCTCAGATTTAGATTTTCCACATATTAACCCTGAACTTTTTTGAAACTACCTTGTTCAGAGAGTAACCCCTAAGGGAGAACAGCAGCCATGAACACTCAACAGATGGAGCAGATGGGCCAGTTCAAGATCACAGTCTGGGAGGAGGAGAACTTCCAGGGAAAGCGCTGTGAGTTCATGCTGGAGTGCCAGAACATCATGGAGAGGGGCTTCAACAAGATCCGTTCCATCAAGGTTGAGAATGGACCGTAAGTCCACTTTGTTTGTGTTCTTCAGAATCTCCTATTTATTTTTCCCTCCTGCGGTCTCTCCATCTATCCAGGAATTCTGTATTTTCCATGGAAATCCCTTCCATTTCACCTCTTGACCTGTTTGTTAATATTCATATTCTGACATCTTTATGAGGGCATATTTGAGTCAATAATTTGTTATATTCTAGTTAGAATTTTACTCTCTTAAACCCTATGAAGATTTTATATTATTATCTATTATATAGAGGAACTGCATCAGTACTGTTAAAGTAACATTTGGAGTGAGTTTAATTTTTGCCGTACATGGTCTGCAGTCTTCCTCAAATATTTGATCAAATACACATTGCTGCTAACAAATCATATTATTCACTTCTCTTACAATTCTAATTTTATCTGCTTGAAAAAGTCTGATTAAAGCCCACACAACTCAAACATAGACTCTAATCAAAAAGGCAGAATAACAAAAAACATCAATTACAGCCTACAGTGTTATTGCATTGCTAGTTGGCATGTATCGTGTGTGTGTGTGTGTGTGTGTGTGTGTGTGTGTGTATGTGTGTGTGCGTGCATTCAAGTGTAACCCTGTTGTGATATGAGTTGGCTGTGTGCAGCTGCCGGCTGTGAGCCAGAATGGCTGACTGACTGACTGGCGATCAGATAAAAAGCCCTGGGTGCAGCAGCAGCAGTAGCGGTGGAGGCAGGAGCAGCAGTATTTAATGTTTGCTTTATGCTCCCACTGACAAAGGAGGCTGCATGCTGTTTTCACTCGAGGCCATTCTGTGGGCGTTGGACTCTATTGTTTGATGAAAATGTTTCATAGTTGTTGCACTAAAACTACTTTGCACTTTGTGGTTTGTAATTGGTTTATGTCTGTATTTTATTAATTTATTTCAAGATAATTTAGGTTTTCTCTGCTCATTAAACCCCAAAACATATTTTCTTTTTCCTTCCTTGTCTCTTCACATCTTTCCACTGTTTAGCTGGGTGGGTTATGAGTATCCAGAGTTCCAGGGACAGCAGTTTATCCTGGAGAAGGGAGACTACCCTCGCTACGAGGCCTGGAGCGGAAACAGCAGCTACAGAACCGAGCACATGCTTTCCTTCAGACCCATCAAGTGCGCTGTAAGTTACATTCATCCCTCTCATCTTTTCTCTATTTACTAGTCAGCATCTGTCAGCTGCTACAAGTGTCTTACTTTTTCCCTTTCTCTGCAGAACCACAGTGACAGCAAGGTGACCATGTACGAGTGTGAGGACTTCCAGGGCCGTAAGTTTGAGATGTGCGATGACTACCCATCCCTACAGGCCATGGGATGGTGCAGCAAGGAGGTGCCCTCTATCAAAGTCAACTCCGGAGCGTAAGTTATACATGTTACCCTCTATTTATTTGTGTCTCCTGTCTCTCCCTTTTTAAGATGTACTTTTAGTCAAAACACAGAATATAAATTATCTTTTGGTATTTGGAAACAACCTGATCTGACTGGATGTAATATGGAGAAAATGTCCAATAGTTGATATATGTTTGTTTAAATGATATATTGTATTCTTTGATCTGACCTTGACTCCACCCCCACCCCACCCCCCCTCTCTCTCTCTGCAGCTGGGTGGCCTACCAGTTCCCTGGTTACCGTGGCTACCAGTACATCCTGGAGAGAGACAGACACCAAGGCGAGTACAGAAACTACAATGAGTACAGCACCCAGGCTCACACCAACCAGGTGCAGTCCATTCGTAGGATCCAGCACTAAGTCTCCACTCTGCCTGCCTGACCCAAAAAAACTCTCCCTGAACCCCTTCCTCAACTTGAACCCCTGGACAGACCGCTGTCACAGAACAGTAGACGGACAAACTCTTTCTATCACTCTGTGGCTCTGCATGTATGGATATCTAAGTACCTACTTCTTCTACCATGCTAAAGCATGTTCTTGATATAGGAAATAAAGGCTTTTCTTCAAAACTAGAGTCTGTTTGTCGGCATTCCTTTTTCTTTTTACAATGAAAATGATCACCCTAATTAAATGAATAAATATGAAAACCTCAGAAGAGCAATGATCTGCTACACTGAGCTATCAATCATTTTGCACCTTGGTTATGACAGCCATGGTGCATCCAAGTGCACAAGCACTGCAAAATCAGAGCCCCTTATTCTCTTTTAGCTTCATAGAGCAGGCTGTTAACAGAGATAGTTTTTGCTTTGTATTTATTTAAAGGACATATTTAGCCTTTTAGTGACCATGGAAAGATTTGATTCAAATCTCTCGGTTAGGCTTTAGGATGTGTAATATTGTTCTTGTCAGACTGTATTCTCCTTTCCAATAAACAAGAGCACGAGAACCCATTTGTTTCTATTATTTGTGTTTCGACTGTTGCAATCACTTTTTGCCAAAATGGCTCGTAGTGAGGAGCTGAAGTAAATGCAACAGCTAATCCAGTTGATCAAGTTGAAACACTGTCTAATTGCCAATAAAGTTCTCAACAAACACATATCAGATCAAATAAAATGTGAATTTTGAAAATATAATTAATTCAAATTCAAGTTCTCTTGCTCTTGCTTGCTTTGCCTATTCACAGCAAATGTATTGTGTGGCCTTAACAACCAAAATAAATAGATAAATAAATAATCTGGCACCAAGGGACAATAGTTTTAATGTAAACACATCAATGGGCTGACAAAGATGCAGGCACTCCACATGGTGTCAGCACACATGTAGCCATCCTTATTTCATTACTGTTTCATTACGCTTTAGGCAAGAGGAAAGCAGAAGTCCTCTGAGAGACAAATGCCATTCATGTAAAATGCTTTTGTTGAAGAAAGGTAGATGCACATGCAATGCCTGTTTGAGTATTGGGCCAATCAGATAACTGTTTCGCCTTGCCTCACCTCGCCTTACCAAACAAACACACACTTAAGGAGAACTTGAGGTGTACAACATAAACCACCAACCAGAAAACTGCTCCACGACTTTCCACGAGTTACTAGAAACAGATTTGTTTTTACCTTTGTGATAATGAATTTGTCAGAGAGCCCAATGTTTTTATTTAGTGCAAAATGTATATGAAATATTTCAATCCATTAAGAAACCTTTAATCCTTTGGTCTAAATAAAGTCAAAATCATCAAATTTGGAAGTAAATGGACAGAGGCAAATAACTGGTGTGTAGGATTGAGTGACATCTAGTGGTAAAGTTGCAGATTGCAACCATTTGAATGCAGCTGAAGTGTATAGGAGAAATTACGGTGGCCACGAAACTCAGAGAAAATGCTGAAGTCCCTATCTAGAGCCAGTGTTTGGAGAAACATGGCAGTTCAACATGGCAGCCGCCGTGGAAGAGAACCTGCTCCCTCTATAGATAAAAGCCGCTCAAGGCAACGGCAACCTAAGGGCGTAACCAAGCATTCTCTGGCGGGAACATGCCCCCCACCCCAAAACTGAAAAAGTACCAATCTGTCCCCAGAAATATATGGTATTATTATTATGGTTAAAAAGGTTATATGTTAAATGTGTCCTCTTTTATGTGCTGTCTCTTGCTCTTTCCTATTTATTTTCAATTAATTAAAAATAAAGTGTGTGACTCCCCAACTTTATTTCTAAAAGCTATCCTATTTGCTACAACTGGAAAATGTATAATTTTAACTGGTAGGTGTGTTTAAAGTAAGTAAACATGTTCTATACCATGGTTACCCCCTTGACAATAACACAATAATTCTTTTTTTCAGGTGATTATACACTACATGAAAAACATACCTGTGCCTATTATATTCCATATCTGCCAATAGATCCTCCTAAATGTTACACACTGGACCTTTGATGTTAAAAATATTACTACTTTTACATAGTATCTACATTGATTAGTTTAACCCAAGTGAAAACCATTATCCCTAACCCTTACTAATTACCTTATTATATCTTCACAAAGGTGCTAGTGATAGATGTAGTACAGCGACATAGACCAGTCAGGTAAGATTTTGAAGCTGCAACTAGTGAAATCCCACTTCAGAGAGAGGCCCTATTTTTGTATTATGAACATTATATACACAAGAAGTACCAGACAGTTTATTTTATATCTGAAATAAACTCTGATTTACAAAAAAGCATGTTCCTCATTACATCCTTGCGCACAACTACCTCATAAATGTCTGGTAGCTTAGAAGCATTTGTTTGTTTATTCTAATGAGACACCATGTTTATCTTACAGTCACACGCCGGGATCCTGGAGTGTGTTTACCTCCATACACACTCCTGTTGGTCCAGGACGTGGGATTCCGTGTTACACACCCACAAGCCTGCACCGGCTTACAGTCCCACACCCAAAAAACCAGGATCTTTTAATAAATGTGTAACCATGTACACACACCTTTCTCAAATATACATTCCTCTACAGACTGATTAAAGCAGCTGCAGCGTGGCTTACAGGGGAGTGACACTTTGGTAGTCTAGTAAGTTGCACACTCTGGTACTTTGGCCACACAATTCAGAGCAGAGCAGGTAAGTTAAAGGCTTTACAGAGGAACTTTGCATTGAGTCTTGATGACAGCTAGAATTTAATGTGGGTGTTATGATTGATTTCTTCACTGAAATGAGTCACAGTAGGTTTTAAAATGGAGAGATGTTTTAAACAGATGAAGTGATGATATTTAGTCTGAATGTTTACATCTATATGGTCGCTAAATGACTACATAGACCATTGTAGGGCTTACCATTACATAACTATAGGCAAACGACCAGTATAACACTCTCTTGATCTATGTTTGTGTGTTAGATTTATACTAGGTTTAATATATGTTCAGTTAATACATCAGTTTTACTTGCACACTACTACTGGGATATAGCTAACATCAGATTCGGACTTGACTGAGATCAATAAGTAACAACAAAGTAGCACTTTTCTGATGTTTCTATGTAATTATATATTTGTTTTTTTCTTTTTGTCAGTCCTTCTTGCCTCATGCTAATCACTTACCAGAGTACTGACCAGAGGCCACGTACTTATCTACCACTGCATCAGTGGATACAGTCTAGCTTTCGAGGCTTGTTTTAAGTTGCCTGCGACTTTTACTTGGACACAGGCAGCTAAAGCAAGTCTGGGACGCCACAGACACACCAACAAGTCCAGGCCTGAGCAAGCGCTGCCATGAGAAGAATGGAAAATCCAGCTTTTACTCTGGGAGGAGGGGACATGGGGAATATACAATTTGTTAATGAATTCTGCAAGATTTTGTCCTCATTGTGCCAGAGGATAAACTTTGAATTATATGTTACGGGTACATTTTGTAAACTAATAGGATAATCAGAGGCCTAGTCTGATGCAATCTGTTTTTACAAAGCCTGTGTGAACAGGGTGGGACTCGTATGTGCAGACGCGCATGCTATAACTAAGTAGTTGAATAAACAAAATAACTTTTACTTATTTTACTTATTTACCTATTGCATTTTTGTGTGTTTGCATTGTGCATGTCTCTGAGCTCAGTCAGGTGACACGTTATGGAGCAAACACTAAAATAGATGATGATTAGCGAGCTGTTTATTTTCAGGACAGTCAACACAGAGGACCAAATATGCATATAAGTATGAATTAAATGGTAAAGTGAAGATTTTCTGTTGGGTATATGTGTAATAAAATGTAATTTCAAGGTATTCACATTTCAGGTTTAAATGTATATATTTGCTATTCGTGAGGTAAAATTTGTGTTTTTTTTTTTTTTTTTTTGGATTGATTTTCTTAAGCTTTCTTGAATGATGATGCCTAGATAAACCTTTTCAAAATCTCCACCTTTTCCAAGGGGGAAGCTCTGAGGATCCATGAAATCTGACAGAACTGAAAGTGAATTGTCTTTAACTGATTCCTGCAGCTGCATTGATTAGCTACTTTATGTCACATACATTGCATTTTGACAAGAAAAACAAGATGCCAAACCACTTGGCAGAGACGTACATCTGTCAATGGCAGAACATATTCTCATGTTTTTAGAATTATTAATGGCCTTTGCCTTGATTAGATCAATTTCAGTGGAGATGTAGACAAGAAAATATGCTTTGAGGAAGACACACAGGGGCGGATCCAAATAAATATTCATAGGGTAGTGAGATAGTGGCATGGAGGCATAAAGGGGTGGAAGAAATATATGCGATGTAATCCCATATATCAATATTTGTTTGGATTTTTCTTATTTCAAAACTTCAGACATCTCTTTTTTTTTTTTTTTAATTAAGCCACAATCACTTAGTCTAAAATGTGGCCAAAACAGACCATTAAATTATATATGTTAATTTATTAACACAATATTTGTAATCTAAGTGTGTTAAAATTTGATCCTTTAGATCCGCCCCTGAAGACACACAATACATCAAACCAGGGATGTTGCAGTAATACATCTTAAAACTCTTATCCTTCTGGACAACACCTCCTTTTAGGTATTAATGAACAAACCATTATCATACCAGGGTTCGGACACACTCATAAATGACACAGATTTATTGTTCTAAGTTTATATTTGTTGCTTTTTAAATGCTCCAGAGTGCTTCGAAGCAGAAAAACAGATTTCAGATTGATCCTGGATTCATTATATTGACTACAATTAGAAATTGTGTGTTGATGCCACATGTGATTCATGTCAATTTATGAAAAATGGCATTTAATCACAGTGTTGTGTTGTGTTGTATCACCAGCCCATGGTATGCCTGTAATGACAACTAAATTAAATGCTGAGTGGAATTGTTCTGTCTATCTTCTGGAGATCTGAATGAACAAAATTGATGGACATCTGGTATCCATCACCCTTATTTTAAAATAATAATGTGATAATTATAAAGGGTGTCTAGACTCTACTAACAGAAAGTGGTCAACCTGTTTACAGTCCAAACCAGAACAGGGCAGGGCAATAAAGTCCTCTAAATCTCCCCACTGCCTCTAACAAGAATTAGAAAAATATGAGTGGACATGATAACGTCAGTGAGCGTCAGAAGCCATGGTTTTAAAGTTACAACCTCATTACCCTCAGATTGAGGCTATATAACCTTAAACCCACAAACAGAAGGTTAGGGGGGGGATGAGATGTTCTTGTTTTCTCGTGCGCACTGAAGCGTGTTTTTCAAGGTAAATATTCTTTTCCCAACATGAAATAGGTCTTTGTTGTTTGCCAAGAGGTAAAGAGGCGGAAAAGTGAGGAGGATCTGAACTGGTTTCCATGTCAAACACTTCAATTCACCATAGAAACTCAGATCTTAACGCGGAAACTTTATTAAACTGTGATGGTGGATTGATAAGGGCCGAATTTCTATCGGCCTCTTTTTATTGTGGGCACCAGGCGGACTGACAGAGGTAAATTGCTCTTTTAATTAAAGCAATGCACCAGGGGAAATTGCTGTCTGAATATTGTCTCAGAGATGGGGGCCAGTGACAGTTGCCTGGAAACTTCAATCTGTCCACCCGCATTTATTCCAGATCACAGTTATGAGATAAAGTTTAATAAAAATCTTTTCCTCCGCCACCAACGAAATGAAATCCAACCCTTTCTGAACAACTGAACACAATGAGACAGGACTGCGGAGGAAACCTCATGTTCAACATGTATCTCTCAGGTTCGTCATTTTGTCGGGGAAAGAATTATAGAAATAAGCTGTTATAATTCTTTAGATTCTGCTCTGGGTGTCGGTGTCTTGGTGCGGTGATGCTCCGCTTCCAGGGGCACAGCATTGTTCAGCCTTTTCAATCTGAAAGCCCGTCTGCTCTTTTGTCGGAAATCGGAAATCCTTTTTCCTGGACGCGTTTCCTGGCTTCTCGGAGAGAGGAGACCGCAAAGACGACATGCTTCTTCCATTAGACTGCGACTGGACGAGGACACAATTAGGATTTTAATCAATTTTTAGCTTTTGTAGACATTTGGCAAAATTTTACATTTTATTTTAGCTCGAATCTTTTACACCAGTCTGCTCAATTTTCCAGCATCTTGAAACAGTTTTATAGCAGCTTCCCTCTACTGAAATACCTGTTTCCTCTGAAAACAGATACAAAGAAATCCGTTTATAAAGCTTATATTATCTTGGTTCTTCTTTTTAGGAGATATGAACAGTAATTTCTAGAAAATTATGCACATAAGTGAACTTGTTTTCTTAACCCAGCAAAGTAATATAAGACTATAAGAGCGTCCTTAATGGCTTCCTAAAAAATATATTTTATAGGCGACATGCAGAACAGGATGGATAAGCAGCTGCTGATACTGACAGTGTGTCTGTTTTGATTTCAGATCCAACAGAAAATCTGTTGAAAGAAGGCAAAGGAGCAACCTGGGGTCCAATAAACACAGGAGTACAAAAAGGTAAGAGACTCAGTGACCTGCCAGGATACATCATGAATATTGTCAGGTCACAGTTATCTCACATTAACGAGAATATTCTGTTTTCTGACACAATATAGGACAAATATTGGTGATGAAATAATAACGAAAAATAAATAATAAAAGAGCTGTTGGATAAAAGCCTCTGAGGCGGACTTGTGATTTTTTGCATATAGTAAGAAATCTAACTCGAGGAATCAATAAAGTTTTCCATATTATCGCTAAAAATAGCCTACCACAATTATTAAAGCAAGAATAAAATGCATTTCAGGCTTATTTAATTGAATCTGTGTTTCTGTTATTGGTTCTATTTGGTACCAATTGATAAAAAAACATCAAAATTCATACACAGTTTGCAACTGCATTTTGTTTGTTGGTTACAGATAATAAATAAATATCTTTTCTTCAATGGATGATGGTATTTTTATTCTTTCCACCCCAAAATTATTTTGTCTATAGTTTTGGCTCATCTACCTTTAGGTTCCAAGCTGGATCCTATATCAAGGAAGATGTAAAATTATAATAAATTAAATCAAGTACAACAAAATAAGATCAAATAAAAAAAAAAAAAAATGAATGCATTAACACACAACACAAAGCCAGGCGCAAATAGCTAAATAAAGCGGTTTATGACCTTTAACAAAAATCAAAAACATAAATCAATCTGAAAAATATCTAACAACCTAATCAAATTGTAAATTACCTGTCGATTAACAGCTAGGCGCAGCTACACTGTATTTAAAATAAATATGATTGAATTAATAAGTTCAAAAGTGTCGTTGTTTAAATACGCACTTCATAATATAGACCTCCGATGCATTAGTCTATCCAAGAAACACATTAATATCCTAAAAGAAAACTGGTATGGTGCGCATATGCTTGGAATCGGCCTATAAACTGTACAGTTTTAAACATAAAATATCTCAAATGTAATCTATTTTTCCCTTTATTTTGAAATATGTCTCCAAAAATTGCCGCTTTATCGATCATAAATTTCAGCCAAAATTTTAATAAATGAGAATTATTATTTGTAAAATATTTGGTAAAATGCCAAGCCCCCAAAAACGTTTTGCACAGAATGTACCCCCAGACATGTGACGTTGTGTACTTAATTTAAGTTATTTTCTAATCTTGCTCTGCGTTGCATTAATCAGTTTATATTTATTTTGACATAAAATCAATGGTCATTGCCCCCAATCCACAGGCAGTGGGCAGATTCAGCTGTGGCAGTTCCTGCTGGAGCTCCTCTCTGACAGCACCAACATGTCGTGCATCGCCTGGGAGGGCACCAACGGCGAGTTCAAGCTCATCGACCCGGACGAGGTGGCTCGGCGCTGGGGGGAGCGCAAAAGCAAACCCAACATGAACTATGATAAACTGAGCCGGGCGCTGCGCTACTATTACGACAAAAACATCATGACCAAAGTCCACGGCAAGCGGTATGCCTACAAGTTTGATTTCCACGGCTTGGCTCAGGTGTGCCAGCCGTCCACCACGGAGCAGGCCATCTACAAATTTCAGGGTAACTTCTCACCGATTCCCTTCTCCGGGATTTCCAAACTGAACCTCGTGGCTCCCGGTGTGGGCCCGTCGGGTTTCTCCTACTGGCCCGGTTCCCCTCCGGCGGCTCTGTATCACAGCCACAACCTCCAGCCTCCAGGGCCCTTTGGCACCGTGTCTCCATCCCACATCAGCTGTGTCAACAACATCAACAGCCTGAGTAACATCAATAGCCATTACAACTGACTCTTAATGCATCTTTTAGACAAACTGGAAACATATAAGATACCGCAGGAAACGCAGCAACGAACCACGAGAGATTAAGAGCACTGAAAGAGCGGTTTTTGTAACTTGTAGGTGAAAATACTGGCCTAATTTGGTAAAAAAAAAAAAGATGTTTTTAGACATACGATTGTTTCAACAGCATAGGCTATATTTAAAAGTATGTAGTTGTGTAGATGCTGCTGAGACGACGTTTGTATGTAAGCAAGACGTCTAAAAATGTGTACCTAAACAAACCAAAAGTAATTTAGCCCCCGTTAACCCTTAAACCAAGACATCTTTTCACAAGCAAATGTTTAAATCAAAGAGCCGCCTATCAAGTTACGCACTATGGGTTGGACTTTTACGCGCGGTATTTGAATGATAATATTAGTTAGTTATTCTAACCCATAATGACCCAAAATATGAAATTTCCTCATTTCAGCCATAATCTGTGAAATTAAATCGGAAATCATCAAAAGTTTTCGTGTGGGAGCCCGGTTTTTGAAATGAACAATGTATAGAGCATTATTTAAAACAAGATAATGAAATACAGATTGTGTCTGTTTTATACCTATCAGTTCTCATCCTTTTCTGTTCCTTTGCTGTCTCTCATCCTCCTTTCTTGACTTCTGTGTACTTTTTACATAGAAGTGGGTGTATTTGCTCCAGCCTGTGAGCAAATCACCAGTTATTATTGGACTACTGGCGCCACCTCGTGGTTTGGGCATGGCCTGTTGATTTTGACCACTTGACACAGTCGCCTGAAATATATCGTCACTTTAATCACTGATTAGAAATCAGATTACGCATGGACATGCCCTCATAAGAATATCAAACTTAACCCACTTGCAATAATAATAAAACCAGTACAGAGGTACATGGTTGTGATCTGTGTAACGTAAATAGTAACAGAAACTGTGAATTCATGAACTACTCTTTAAATACTGTATTGTGGAGACACGCGCTGGCTATCGCTGCTTTGTAGTGATTTTGGAGTGGATAACATTGCATTCATTCACACAGCTTCATATTGTTGCTATGACCATTGTACCAACGAAGTAAATAAAATCACACTGTTAGGAATAAATCTTTCTGTCAGTATGCATTTAAACTATGTGCTGATAACCTTTTGCTTCTTCATATGTTTAGAAAGAAAAAAAAAATGTTTCAAAAAAACTGTCTGGATGTGTTTATTGCTTCCGAGAGAAAGAGAGAGAGAGAGAGAGAGAGAGAGAGAGAGAGAGAGAGAGAGAGAGAGAATGAGGTAGAATCGTCTTCTGAGTGGAGTACCCCTTTATTTTTGGTACAGTCCTATCACACAGGCAGCAACAACCTCTTCAGAATTGTTCAGGTGTTAGTGTGTTCATTACAGTCTGAGCTGAAAGAATGACATCCTTTCTACAGCCTAAGGTAGGTTACATGACAACATTGTTCACATTTTAAAAAAGATTGGGTCTTATGGAAGATGCATTAGTGATGTGCGTAGACTGCAGTTTCTGTTTGTTATTTTGTTTTTTAAGCCTTATGCCATGTTATTAGCTGTTATTTCTATGCTTTCTGCTGCACTCATTCAAACTCAAGTCAAGCACAAAGTGTAGTAATATATTTAACTTTTCCCCAAATAAACTAGATGAGGGTTAAATTGGACAAAATGCCTATAGGACATTTCGAGTGTGAGTTGTGTTTTCTGTTCACTTGAGAGAGGGTTTAGCATGAGGCTACTGCTGATTACAGAATGTCAAGGAGAGAAAGACAACTGAAGACCAAGGCTCTGCACAACGCTGCTAGAAACAGCATTTATTTGAAGGTTGGATCCAAAGCTGCAACAGCAAGGTCAGATGAGGAAGATAAAGGTACCCATTGCATGCAAGTCCTCTCATAGACTGCCCTGCCATAAGCAAAAAACACCCACGGAAGAAAGGGAAGAAGGCTAGTGCTAGTGATTTAGAACATTCTTATGTAATACAAGTTTTGCATTGCTATTCACTCACCACTAGAATACAAGTACAGTGAGGATGAAGATATCAGAGACCCGATGCCAGGGAGAGAAATGATAATGAGGTCAGGGAGAGAGATGCTGATGAACATGAAGATCATATTAGGGAGAGAGACGGATGAAGATCATATCATAGAGAAAGATGGTGATGTTGATGATGGGGATAGTGGTGATGATGAAGATGCCAAGGAAAGAGATGTCAAACTTGTCAGGAAGAGTGATACTGATGATGAAGATAGCAGGGAGTGAGCTCATGAACTCTCTAGCAGGTGATGCCAGGATGCTCTTGTGAAACATAGACTTTGAATTTATTCTGTGTCACCACACCTGTCTTCACTAAAGCACTGAGATCCCCGGACAAGTCAGACACAGTAAGGAACCTCAGAGGTACAACTACAGCTCCCAGTCACCTACAGAGGACCACTGAAACCAGAGCTTGGAGGAGTATTACTGAGGAAAGGTGTTCTTTACTTACTGACATCCTCTCCAAAGTGGAAGGTGATGAACACCCAGCTCAGAGACAGATGTGAGGCAGGAAGGTTCTTAGATCTTCTGCTGCTCTCCAGAGAAGAATTCTACCCCGATGGTGCCATGTTGACTCTCTGACACATAATAAAACAATTTTAATCTTAACTAGTGTTTGGAACTGTTTCACCTTTAATAGATCTCACCTTTCTGCATGCTGGCGCTCCACCACATGCAACTGGTGACCCACTGCTTAAAAGTCACTGAAAGATGTTTTCTGTTTTCATTTCTAAATGCCAATAGCAACACATACTCATCAGAAAACAAACCTACAGTGCAGATAACTTCACATTTGCTATATTATATAGTTTGCTGATGTTTCTGCTGATGATGATACACCACACATTGATTATATATATTATTATTATTATATGATGGACTAGTGGCAAAGTGTGGAATCTCCTCAGCCACACGGGGGCGCCATAATTCTTCCAACATCTAAACACTGTTTACATAACAGGTGATAACAGAGTTGGTCTAACATAGAACACAGAAGCATCTGCAAATAGCAGATTAACCCCAAACCTCATTTTATGATGGTACAGATCTACAGAGATTTAAGTATGTCTGGACCGAGCATTATCAGACAGTTGAATGGACATTGGGGTTTTACGCCTATTTCACAGAATGATGAAAATAGTGCCTATATAGTGCTATAACAGGTGTACACTTAAAAAAGATAGTTGTAACTGAGATAGTGGTTTTATTAACATATACTTATTGTTTCACATCAATCAGTTGGAAGTGATAAAGTAATAGCAATATGCATTTAATTTAATTGGCACATAGTGCTTGAGTAAAATGATGCAGTGCTGTAAAATCACACTTTATCACCCGGCAGTTCAATATAATCATAATAAGCTTAATTAAGCTCAACTGAAAACCTGTTGTGTCACTACACAGATGCCAAAGAGCAGTGTGCTAACTATACCAGGGCTTTTCGCTCTGGCTCCTCTGCAGTTCGCACCCAGCCAAAGGGTACTTTTAATGTGTCTAAGACGCTGGCAGGTTTGACAACACGTCTGTATTGTGCAACCATTGAATGAGGATGAGTTAGTCATTTCGCATGGAGCAGAGATACAGAAACAGGAAGTGTGCGTATGTGTTTGTAAAAGAAAGAGAGAGAGGGTCCCTGATTCACAACAGCAGTGTTGGTGTGTGTGTCCTGCATATCAATAGGAAAGACTTGGGGTCGCTATTGACAACTGGATCTCTCTCTCACTTTCTCTCTCTTTGTGTGTGTGGGAATGAATTTGAGACTGCTAGTAGTCTGTAAGGACTGTAGAGAGAGCGAGAGAGAGAGAGAGAGAGAGAGAGAGAGAGAGAGAGAGAGAGAGAGAGAGACAGAGAGAGATAGGTGTGTATCCATGATATTTGTTCACCCCCTGTAGACTTCTTATATTGTGCTTCTATGATAACATAGTGCAGACTCCACAGGGTCTGAGTCACTTCCACAACATTGTAATCGTCACTGTCTTCTCTACCAACTGCTCTGCTACTAATCTGCTGCGCCTATTGTTGCTGCTAAGCAGCACTCATCCTCTCTCTTCTTCTTGCGTAACAAACTAGGTGGGTGTTTTCCCTGCAAGCCACAGGATTAACAGTGTGAATCTAGACTAGAAGACTGAGAAGCAAGAAGGAAACAGGAGGAGGAGGAGGAGGAGGAGGAGGAGGGAGGGAAAAAGAAAAGAATATCTTAGTACTAATGTTACTTAGCAGCACTTTGCCATTTGGACATTCCTAGTTTAGATATTTTCATTAACAGACAGTTTGTCTGTGGGCTCAAGAGACTGACTGTGGAGAAAACATGATAAAGTGCCCTCTAGGATGCCGTTCCAGTGAATAAAATGTGATGCAGGAGCCTCTATGGTCTCTTTCCAATGAATAAAACATAAAGTTGTTCTCTCTTGGATGCCCTTACAGTGGATAAAATATAACACTCAGCCCTCTGTGGCAGTGTTTCCTAACCTTTGGGTTGGGACCCCCACTAGGGGTCACCAAAGCTTCAAGGGGGATCTTCTTGGCTTTAAGAAAACTTAAAAATATACACAGTGGGAACATATCTTAGCATTTCATTCTTCTATTAATTTAGGATCTAAACTTAGTATCTGAAGTATCTGAAAACAATCTATATTCATAGAGCCTTCACTCTGAGCCACGATAAACAGACATGTCCTGCAAAGAGTTAATAGAACTGTGGCCAAGTATCAGGGGAAGAAAATACTAATTTAGTCCAAAAAGAAGCCTATTAAGTATGTATCATTGGTAAACAATTAAATAAACACAGCACATACAGAGAAATACTTGAAATGTTGATAAAAAAAACATCAGGAATGCTAATCTCTGATCAATATTCAGAGGAAATAATTTGCTCAAAATTCATCCAAATCTCTGGTTTTACACAAACGTCCTGCAGTTATCGTGTTCACTGTTTGGGTTAATTGTACGGTTTATCAGTTGTTCTGTACTGTTATTGTTATACATTGAATATAATATGAAATATACATAAAATATGTCACTGCTACAAGGGGTCAGGGGTCATCAGTTTGCTTAGTTGCTGAGGGGTCCCTTCAGGAAAAAGGTTGGGAACCACTGCCCTTCCAGTAGAGGAAATACAATGCAGTGCCATATAGGCAACCCTACATGGTAGAAAAATAGTTTGAAACTATTTCACCTTAAATACATCACAACTTTCTGTGCACTGGTGTCCCACTGCATGCAGTCACTTTTTTACTTTTTTCACCCCTGCACCTCAGCCAGCCTGAGTCTGCCCCTGCACATAGCCAATGATTTCCATCACCACATATCATTTTCCAAAGCAAGTCATAAATTTGTAAATGTATTTTTCGGCAGCCACTGGTTTCAGTTCATGTCGGTATTCAGACGTTCCAAAACTCCTTGAGGTAATCCCAGTGAACATGTAGTAATCTTTACTTTTTTAAAGGTAAATCTTACTGTTGTGTAGTAATGCAGTTCAGGTGATGGTGGGAAAGTCCGACATGTGAGAGCTGAGAGTAGGTTACTGCAGTGTTGCATGCATGTACTATGAGCTATGCTGTTACTATGAAGACAAAGTGGATATCATGCAAAGGAAAATATTGAATTTTGTCA